TAAGATTTTATTTATTTATTTGACAGAGAGAGACACAGCGAGAGAGGGAACACAAGCAGAGGGAGTGGGAGAGGGAGAAGCAGGCTTCCCGCCGAACAGGGACCATTCTTCCTGTGGTTCAAGATTTTAAAATAAATTAACTATGACTAAACACAAAAAGTAATATGAATAGTGTTCCAAGACTCTAAAATGAGGTGGGTTCAGCAGACATGGAGCATCTGTATGAATTGAAATATAGATATAGAAATAATTTTTCGAAGTAGATATATAGAGGATATCTGGAATAAACTCTTGCTAAGTTTGAGAAAATTCAATGTTTGTGCACATTGTGAGGCATTGATGAGTCACTCTATGACACATATGACCAGTGCTGATGAGTTCTGTGGTGCCCTGGAGACCCATATGTTCATCTGGCACTGAGGGGAGGGTATATGTGATTTCATTTTGTTTATATGAAGAATATTTATGGAGTTTGGCAACAGCGCTAGATTAGGATAGGACCTAGATCACAGTGTCTTCTAACTCCAACTCTGTCAACCCCTTAACATTAAGGCCTAAACAGTCCTCTTTAGGATTTCATTTATAAAATAAGAGCGTGGGACTAGATGATCTCCAAGAGCCCTTCCAAAGTGCCAACATACAATGAATTTGGAATCATGTTTTTCAGAGGGTTAGATTAGTTTTGTTGGCCAAAACACACAATAGAAGAAAATCATTTATTCTTATTGCAAGGATAGAAATATACCACAGGTCAAGTCAGTAGTCGTAACTTATGTACAAATACCATAATCTAAGCCTCTAATATGGGTATTATTCATGTCCTGACAATCTTGGTGTTCTCATGGGGTTTTGTGACATTAAAACACATCTTACAATGACATCACCTTAAACTCCTAGATGCCTCTCACGGCAGATCCATTGATACAGTGCTTTGGGGCTTGGGGCTTTGTTTTGTGGCATCTGTAGGACATATGTGTAGTTCCAGCTCGATCTCTTTTAACCAACAACAATAAAGCTAATGTAAATTGAGTTCTTCCTTTGTGCCACACACTGTGCTGAGTGCTTAGCTCACCTCATTCCATTTAGTCCCATCAACCTTGCAAAGTAGGAAGGATGAAGGAATGACAGCTAAGAGATGGACGTATTTTTTAACTTTGCTCAGCAAGAACTGGAAATCAGGTTGTCAAGCCGCAGCACCCAAGCACTTAGCCACTCTACAGTGCTGCCAACTTAGGGCCAATGTCATTCTTAGCACAGCGGGGGGGGGGGGGTCCCATCTGGAAGCTGCTCATTTGGAACAGGGTGTTTTCACAGCCTTCTTTAACACAAATCACCCCCACAAGATGATGACACAGCATAATTATGAGGCATAGAAACCAGGGCAATTGGTAGTTGCACATCTCTGGGGGACTGTCAATATTACTCTATGGCTAAGAGGAAATTCTGGAGCCAGAAAAGTGCCTAATTTGATCAAAGAATTCCCAAGGGAGGTTTCTCCCCACCAGCCTCCAAAGGCACGCTATGGCTATGTTCCCAAGGGTAGAAGAAGGAATAAGGCAGAAAGCCCTCCAGGAGAAAAGCTTCAGATGAATGAGTTAACATTTTGTATTAAAGGGCTTAGAATGATACCCGGCACAGAGTAAGTGCTTTTTAAGTATTTATTAAATGAATGGATGAATAATTGCTGAAGTACATGACATGAAAATTTTGAGTTCTAGGGGAAAAAAATCATGTATTTCCTACCTTCAGCAAAGTGAAGTGTCTTACAAAAACAGTGGAAAGGAACACATAAATTTAACACATTAAGTGAAGAATCAGAATACAAATTATATCTAAAGTACAACTATGCTTGCATAAAAAAATATGTATATATGTACAAGGCCTGGAATGGAACGTGGTGAAATGAGAAATTTGATTTATTGGAATAACAGGTCTGCGGCTGGTTTTCTTTCTTTATTTAAATGTTAGTGTTCAAATGTACTTTGAACCAATCTCTCCTGTTGCACTTGCATTATTCAAATGCCATTGATTGATGTATGGGTTTCCTTGCCCGAGACCTGAGTTCCATGATGGCAAAGGCATGGACTGAGTCATCTTGCTATTCCCAGTGCTTGGCGCAGAGCCGCCCCTGAGATAGGGTTCACCCATCACGTTGGTTAACGCTTGGGGTCTGGACTCAGACACAGCTGGATTCAAGTTCAGAGCTGCTACTTAAAAGGAGTGTGCCCTAAGACAAATTACTTACCCTCTGTGACCCTCAATGGACGCATCTAAGGGAGGGAAAATAATGGTACCTATTTCATGGGATTGTTTTAGTGATTAATGAGATAATTCATCAAAATCCAATTTAAAACAGTTTAATACCTAACACAGAGAGAGTACCCAATAAATACCAGATACACGACCACTAGTTTACAATGGCTATTTTTAATTGTAAGTCGAATTGAGTGGTCTTGTTAGAAAAACAGACATTATTTTAAAGGACATGAATGGAATTATAACTCACTTCATGGTTATAGAAGTGCCCGTTAATAGAGGCCCTGTGCTTCTGTAACTTTTTTCTGTCCACCATTGGAGGCTTCATCCTTTTTCTCACCAGGGTTGCTTCGCTCATGGTGCGATAGAGCAGTGGGGATTCTGGCTCTTCTTTTGCATAAGGTTTCAGAGTGCTACTATGATAAGATAAATAACCTGGGAAGAATAAAGGTTATAAGGCCATATCATTTAGCCACCTACCTCTTTGGGTGGATTTGTATATGTATTTAAAAAGAAAATATGTAGCTAAGCAGTGAACTATAATGTTTTCAAACAGTAGGAAACTGTTCCATTTTACCTTGGGATTTTAAAAAATTTCCTATTGTAATTAGCATATCACCCAATAGGCATGAGATATTTCATCTTTCTCTAGCACTGGTGCTTAGATACCGATAGATTTTTATGGTAGCTTTGATGCCAAGAAATTGGGATTCCCCTGGGTTTAGATGGGTGTTTTCAAAGGGCTAACAGGAAGGACCTGTATATAAAAGATGCCAACAGCCATCAGACAAAGATAAGGGAATCTTGGAAGGAGCATCATGTTTGTTATTGAATGTGGGTTGTTATGGAGACGGCAGAAAGGACTGCATTGAGAAAGGCTTGGAAAAAATAAATAAACATTGGAAGCTGTTAGTTGATTCATGAAGATAATGTTGGCAGGATACCCTTTTCCGTCTGAATAGGACCAGCCCAGAAATGTGAACCCTGCCCCCAGCCTCAGTCATCAGCTCCTTCCTCCTTGGATCTCCATATATTATATGAAAACCAAATCTATGTAGGATACATAATATCAGGCCTGACACGCAGCAGAGTCTCAGTAAGTGACAACTCCTAATATTACTACTATCACATCATCATTATGGCTCCTGAGGTCACATGTCATAGGAGCTGCCATTTACCATCGCTTTGTCAAGTTCGATATGAACTTACCTGATGTTCACGTTGATTTCTCTTTTTAAAATAAATGCTTGAAATGACTCTATCAAATATAGTGATTCCAGTATATCTGCCTCTTTCTGGGAAGTGGTGTTATGTGACTATCTATTAACTAAAACATTCAACTTCTAAAAAGATGTAGAATCCAATCTGAGGGGATTGGTCCAACATAAAAAGCTACTGAGTATAATAAATGATCCTAATCCTTGGGGAAAATATTAAAGAATTTTATGTATACAAATTTACTCAAACCATTAGCTTTCCCTAATCTAGTAAATCTAAGTGATTTGATGTAATTTTAAAAATGGTATTTTTATATAGTAAAGGAAGGTTCTTAAACATCATATGAGCACTGTAGTGACTTAAATTAGTATGATCCTAAGAGATTTTTTTTTTTTATTAAATGGTGGTGTGTAAAATGTTAAATCTCAGAGAAACATTTAGGATTCATGATTTACATTAAAAAAGAAGTCTCTCCATTAGGAAGAATTTGATACTTACCTTCTTGGGAATTTGTTGCTTCAGATGCTGGAATCTGGGTCCTGTCCAGATCACTAATACGGTAAAGATCATCAAACTCTCCCCAGCGTGTCATTCCCCTGAAAAGTAATAAATCTTGTAAATGACATCAATTCTATTCATGATGGTTTTCAGACTTATAGTATTAATATAGTACTGAAGGCCTGCATAGGTAGGCATATCCTAAATTATGACAATTTTATGATATTATTAAAATTATATTTATACCAGAATGGTCAGCATGTGTTTTTCCATACTGATTTTAAGCAAATCTGATATAATAATTCAGTTATACCCTGAAAGGCAAGGTTGTATAGATTCTATAAAATGTGTATTCAAATGGAATTAGTAGAAATCAACATAATCCATTGTTCCACAGATATCTCACAATGTTCTTGGGAGAGTTTAGATATAAAAGTGTTCTTTCTGCCTACATGCTTTGAGTTCCTAGTGTATTCAGAGCCTTTTTAGGTAGAGTGGCTCTCAGTAAGATGTGGTGCCCACTTTTAAAGCTCTTCACTACTATGAATGCAATTTACAAAGGAGGAAAGTGTATGAGAAACTTCTTTTCTAAAACATTATGATTTATATATAGGATACTAACAATATTCAATGCATTCTAGTGATTAGAATACATAAAGCTGGGCAACTACTTATTTTTACCAGCAGGGCCAAGAGTCACCTTTAGATCTTAGTCAAGTTACTTATCTTCTCTGTGCCTTTGTGTCCTTACATATAAAATGGGGATGATACTAGTAGGAGGTAGGATAGGGCTGCTGAGAAGATTAAATGAGATAATGTGTAAAATTCTTCAAACAGTGCCCGGTATGCATAGTAAGCATGCAGTATGTGTTAAAAGTTATCAAAATCCTCCTCATCTTCATTATCATCCTCATCATCATCACCTGTATCCATTTCATGGTAGGCCAGGAACCATTAGGGATCTAAGATATTCCAGGGTCTCTCTAGGTTAATGGATACTATTACTGCTGGGACTGGTCTTATTCTTACTAAAAATCTCTTCCATAATGTCTGTTTTCCTTATGACCAAAACCCATAAGTGGGGGCACATACTCTTTCCAAATGTGGCATTTGTATTTGTAGCACCAATTCTATCCAAATGTCACTGGTGGCACCGAAAAAGTCTTCTTCACACTAGTGATGGTGAACATGACAAACATGATTTTCTCCCTTGATCTTTGAATCCTTTTGATGTCTTTTTATAACTTTTTTTTTTTAAGATTTTATTTATTTATTTGAGAGAGTGAGAATGAGAGAGAGAGAGAGTACATGAGAGAGGGGAGGGTCAGAGACTCCCCGCCGAGCAGGGAGCCCGATGTGGGACTCGATCCCGGGACTCCAGGATCATGACCTGAGCCAAAGGCAGTCGCTTAACCAACTGAGCCACCCAGGCGCCCGTCTTTTTATAACTTTTATATTATTTGAGCCTCATACTAGTCTTATGATGTAAATAAGGTAACCCTAATGTATTTGTTAGTTAATTTTTCCATAAGCTCTACTATCCAGAAGATAGCCAGTTAAATGTCAGAAAAGTCCAAGAACTATGGGTAATAACGATCTCAAAGGAGACCTATTCAGGTCCTGACTCAGAATCAAGTTATTCTTTTTTTTTTTTTTTAAGATTTTACTTATTTATTTGACAGAGAGAGAGACAGCGAGAGCAGGAACACAAGCAGGGGGAGTGGGAGAGGGAGAAGCAGGCTTCCTGCGGAGCAGGGAGCCCGATGCAGGGCTCGAACCCAGGACCCCGGGATCATGACCTGAGCTGAAGGCAGAGGCTTAACGACTGAGCCATCCAGGTGCCCCAGAATCAAGTTATTCTTAAGCTAGATAAAATTACCCATCTTCCCCAATCTATAAGAGATTAATTATCACAAGGAGGCAGATGTTATTATCATAGAAAGAGTGTTAGCAATGGGGAAGGCGCAATACCAATGAAAAGCGGAAACTAAAATGGGAAGGCAACCTGAAGCTATTTCATATGGGGGAAGATGAGAATGCCCAAGAGCGCCACACCAGTGGTATTCCAAAAATCCTTGGTAATGTTGGTGGACTTGACACTTGTCCTCACTTTCTTACAGTTTAGTGGTGTCACACAAATACAGGGGGACAAACATGGCTCAGTACATGAGTGTTTGGCCCTTTTTCCTCCCTACCCATCTTAGTAGAAAGCACCAGGGTTTTTGTTTGTTTTAAATATTTTATTTATTTATTTGACAGAGAGAGAGAGAGAGAGAGAAACAGAGCATGAGCAGGGGGAGGAGGCAGAGGGAGGGGGAGAAGCAGGCTCCATGCTGAGCAGCGAGCCCAATGCAAGACTTGAGATTCGACTCAACTTGTTCCCAGGACCCTGGGATAATGACCTGAACAGAAGGCAGATGCTTAACTGACTGAACCACCCAGGCGCCCCACTTCTGAAAGCACCAGTATTGAGCTCTGGATTGTGTAATTCGAAGAGACATCCACATACAGTCATTGCACATGACTACACTTGAGGGCAGTTAACCAGAGTTGTTCAAAGAAAACTGGATGGAACTTTATGCAATATCACATAGTGTAACTTGCCCAAGCACGGGACTGTTAGCACTGCTCTGACCATGCTTCAGGATGTGTACTGTGGTAAATTTGAACTGTGGGGAAGTTTTCTGATGAGTTGCAAAATAAAAAGGAGGTAGTAATTTGATAAACAAAGGGAATGTGGTCATTTTTCTTCCTGTGTTGTAAAAAACACACACACACACACATACACACACTATTAAGGTTATTCAAATGTATGCCTGTCCGGCTTCTGTTCTTTCTTTCTTTCTTTTTTTTTTTTAAAGATTTTTATTCATTTCTTTGACAGAGAGAGACACAGTGAGAGAGGGAACACAAGCAGGGGGAGCGGGAGAGGGAGCAGCAGGCTTCCCGCTGCACAGGGAGACCGATGCGGGGCTTGATCCCAGGACCCTGGGATCATGACCTGAGCCGAAGGCAGACGCTTAACGACTGAGCCACCCAGGTGCCCCAGGCTTCTGTTCTTTATGTCATTCTGTCATGATTTGTACAAAATGTGCCAAAGCTGATTTCACAAAGATTAAAAAAAAAACAAAAACAAAAACAGAACTGAAACCTGGTGCAAGCAAACGTAAGCTCAGTAAGGCTGGGAGAGTTTTTTGAAAAAAAAATTTTGAAAGATTTTCGAAACAAAATACTTGGACCAGATAGGAAAGATCAAAGTACTGCCCACAGGATTGTTTCCATAAAGGATCACAAGTGGTCACAGTTCAAACAAACTGATTTATATTTAAGCTTCTACCACTCCCTTTAAGCTGACTCAGGGTGACTCATTTCGAAGATAAAACAAATTAGCATGACAAACTGATGACGCTCTCAATGGCTGAACCGAAAGACCAGACTGCAGCCTTTCCTGCCACTGAGTACACAACTTCCCCGTCTTTTACTCCATGTCCACCCACTGCAGATCCCACATCTGGGACCCTGTGGGAGCAGAGGGAGAAGTTCTGCACACAGGCACCCAGGACAAGAAAGGGGACTTGAGAAGTGAGAGTGAGGGAATCGTCCCTTTCTTCATATGATTTCCTTCAATGCTCAGAATTTAAGCGAATGCCCCCTTATGGGGGGGGCAGCCAGAGTGACTGTGTCTAGGATTGGACTGAAACAAAGAATAGGACGTCAGGTGGCCATGTGCCCTGCTAGGGAACCAGAGGCCAAGGAATAGCCATTCCAAATCATGCTGCCCCTTCCAGCTGAGTGTTGAGCTGGTTCCCATGAAAGAGTCTTGGCTGACTGACCACAACTGAATCTAATCTTGCTCTTGAGTGTGAGAGGGATAGCATCTCTTTCTGATCACTCTTACCTCCAGAAGGATCTGATACCCTTCACTTCGAATGTTCTAGTAAGTTTCATTACTGTGGTAAAGGGCAAGCTAAGTTCTCTAGGGAATTCTTTCTCAACTTTAAACTAAAGATCGTTCCTATTTAGTTCACAGCAATGTTCTTTCTGATAAACACTGAAAAATGCCGTTGGTGTCGATGGAAGGCACATCATGAGAATATTAATTTTTAACTTGCCACCGTGTATGGACAGGCATCAATATTACTTTGCCCACCTGGTCTCTTGAAACTTGTGCCCAAATTGAGGATTTTTAGGAACAAGTGTTTTGAATGTTAATTTGAAAATTTAAAAATACCTTGGGGTAGCTATTTAAAAAAAGGCTTCATGTGATAACACAAGTACCTCACTGAATCTCCTTGACATCTTTGCTTAATGTTCCATACTTACTAAGTTTTCATGACTCAAATAATGAAAATGCATCAAAAGCAGCTGGCTGCTCAGAGAAATTTGCAATGAGTTGTTAGGTAACATGAATGATGATAGCTAATTTTGCCAAATTCATATCTTGCACGGTTATCTCAAAGCAGAGCCCAGGGGTAATTTCTCCTTTTACAGGATGCTCCTAGTCACTTAGAATCTTCAGCCCCATCAGTCATCTGGCCTCTGACGGTGAGGGATGCGGGGCTTCATCAGGCTGCCCAAGTCTGTGGTCTCCCTTCTGCTGTTCTACAAACACTGGACCCTTCACCCATCGGCAACCATTAGCCTGGATGGCTAGTCAGAAGCAGTAGATGGAGACCATTTTCACAACAGAGCAGAGGTTAATTTCACTACCAGGCTTGTGGGCTGTATTCAAGACTCTATTTTGAGTCTCTTCTTTGTGCCAGGCACACTGCGGAGCACCAGGATAACAGATGAATAAGGCATGCTCCATACCCTGAAAAAGCTCGCAGGCCAGAGGGGGAGGTAGGTGCATAAAAATGCAATTAAGGGTGTATTTTGAAAGTGACCTAGGAAAAACTGTCAGTGCACCTCGTACAGAAGAAATGGTCAGAAAATGCTTTCTGCAGAATGTGTTACCTTGTTCCCTGACCAGAATCTGAAAAGACTGAGAGAAGGGAGTTGGGAAAATGGATGTTGAAAAGCAGGGAGGAAGGAAAGTAAGAAGCTGCATGGTATGTATAGTGAATTACAAAATGTTCAGAACTGCTGGAGCATCATGTCTGAGCAAATTGGCCAGGTGCAAATCATAGTGGGGCGTCAGTGGTTTTTCCAAAGCAAAAGTGCGGCTTCCCTCAAGGTGATACTTGGGTTCTCCCTGCTTATGGTGGAAGATCAGATTGAGGAAAAGGTCCTGGCTCTCTCTTCATCCTCTCTTCCTAAAACTCCAGCCCATCTGGTTATAGATGTTATAGATGGCAGGATGGGTAAGGAGAAGGCTTGGTACCTCCACATATACGCAATAGGGAGACGAGCTGGGAAGTTGAGGATTAAAAAGGAGGGAACGTAGGGAATTAGGAATAAAAAATAAAAAAAAATATGTACGATTCCTTCTGGGAATGTTTATTTTTCATGCAAAGGAGAATGAAAAAATTCAGCCCAACTTTTGTATTCAGGGTACAGTTGCATAAACCCACACAGAGGACGGTCTTGTGCAGTTACTGAGCTTCAAGGGCAACTTTGTCGTGCCCTGTTGAACCGGATCAGGACAATCAGGTGGTGCATAATTAAAGTTCCTTTCCAGAAAGCAGGAAGAGCCCTCTGTTCCAAGGAGAGGAGAAATTTTATCCCCCTTTCCGTGATCACGCCAGGCCTAATGGAATCTTGTCTTTATATATATATATATTTTTTTTTTAAAGATTTTTTATTTATTTCTTTGACAGAGAGAGAGATCACAAGCAGGTGGAGTAGCAGGTAAGAGGGAGAGGGAAAAGCAGGCTCCCCGCTGAGCAAGGAACCCGATGTGGGGCTCGATCCCAAGACCCTGGGATCATGACCTGAGCTGAAGGCAGACGCTTAACCAGCTGAGCCACCCAGGTGCCCTAATATGTTTTGTCTTTTCTAACAAAGGAATTCAGTCTTCCAGGAGAGAAGCAACACAGCAGAGAGATAGACCTGAGGTCTGCTACATGGTATTTGGAGATTTTGCACAAATAACCCAGCTTCTCAGAGCCCCGGGTTCTGAACACCTACTTTACAGAGTGGCTGGGGATCAGATGAGATCGTGTTATAAGCATTCGAGCTCCCATCTTTAAGAGTCCACACAATAAAGGTAAGTAAATATGAGGATGATCTTCTAAGGAGTTAAAACATGAAAGACAGCTTACCTTTTGGAAAAGACATCTGGCGACTTCACTTTAGTTAAAGAAGCGATTTGCCTCTCATCTTGGATTTTCAGTTGTATAGGCCGTTTTACTCCCCAGGAAATGTCCAACATTCCTTCAACAATTGGTTCTCCATCTTCTGTCTGGGGAAGAAACCAATCATCTCAAACACGGTTTTTGTATTATTTATAGAAAGTAAATCTTTTAACGGAAAATGTAGAAATCAAGTCTGTAAGACATTTTAATAGATAAAAATAAATTCCCCAGTGGGGTTGTTTGGCTTTTCAATTTATCCTCAAAATAATTCATTTTTGGAAACAGCTATAACCAGCCAAGTGAGTAAGTCATAATGGTAATGACATGCCCACCAGAGGGCATAGTATGCTAAAATGCTTTCTGAACTCCAACATTCTTCAATGAACTGGAAGTTTAACTCTGTTATCTTCGAATTAAAACAGAACTAAACACTATACTAAACTAGAAATCGAAGAACAGCTCTTCGGAGACTTAGTGGCTGTTTCCTCATTTCTGAACAGGAAATTTTAACTCACAAAATTATTATGCAGGATGAGTGGAAAATGTACAAAAATGGTGTTAAATGTGTAACAGAAATTATTCATTTGAAAAAATCAATAGCATTTGACTAATTTTTAAGTTGGAATTATAACAAAAGAAGGAAATTCCATGCAAACATGGATTGTGTGCACTTATTTAATCTCGTCTAAATCCGTAGGCCTCTTCTTTTCTAGATCTACCCCAGTATCCTTGGTGATCTCAAGGGTCCCTATAAGCTGTCTCTCAACTAATAGCTTCCAACTTTATATTTCCAGCCCAAACCTTCCCCCTGAGCTCCAGTTGTTCAACTGCCTACCTGACATCAAACTTAATATCTTCCTAATTAACTCGATCTCTCTCCCATGAATGTTTTCCTCTCCAAGTCTTTCCCATCTTGGCAAATAGCACCCTTATCCTTCCAGTTGCTCAGGCCAGGAATTTTAAAGTCGCCTTTAATCTTTCTTTTGTACTCAACATCCAACGCATTAGCAAATCCTATTAGCTCCATCTTAAAAATTATATCCCTAACGTGACCACACTCACTGTATCCACTACCATGATTCTGGCCCAGGCCATTGTCATTGTTTGCCTGGATTATTGCAAGAGTTTTCTTTCTCATTGTTCTCTTGCCCTTCCCTATACTCCCCATTGCTAGAGAGATCCTTTTAAAATGAATCCTTTTAGATAATGTCACTGTTCTATGCAAAACTCCCCTGTGGCTTTCCATCGCATTCCAAGCACATGCTAAGGTCTTCACAATGGTCTACAAGACCCACACACCCTGGGGCTTTCCTTTCACAGTTATGTCTCTAGCTACTCTGTCTACTAATTCTCCATTCTCATAAGGTTCCGGCTCCCCTGGCTTCTCTGCTGTACTTCAGTTATAGTAGCCAGGCTTGGCCCCTTACTCAAGCTGCTGTCTCTGTCCAGAATGTGTGTCCCACAGACTTCTGCAAAGTTGGCTTCTTCGCATCCTTCAGAGTCTTTGGTCAAGTGGTCCTCTTCCCCCACCCCACTTAGATCCCCTGCTTTGCTACTGTCCACAATCTTTACTACCATTGGATATATTGTATATTTTGTTTCTTATCTGTCTACTATAATGTAAGGAGCATAGAGGCAAGACATTCTGTTCAGTTTCTTCATTGCTATATCTACAGCTTCTAGAACAGTGTCTGGCACATGGCAGACAATCAAGATTTGCTTAATTAACCAGAGATTAAGAAAGCTACATGTTAGCCTCCATATTTCCCCTTTGAACAGTGTCTGTTATTGTAACCAAGGATATTTAGAAAATTCTGAATTCTAACTTTATTCACCAGTGAGTAAAGATGGAAAGATTAAGTGATTTGATAGTCTCACTGTGTACTTCACTTCATGTAATTTTAAAAAATTAAATGACTTTTGTATTATAAATTGAACACTGTTCATAGAATTGGAAAGAATATGCCTCAAATTATATGTTCAGAACATCAAAATTCCAACATTTTCATAAAGGAAACAAATACCTTAACATCATGAATTTTGTAGAAACTTCAAGTAAAATATAAACAGTAATTTTTTAATGTTTTGATCTTTTCTTAAATTTTCTTAAATTATCTTTATAATTACATATATTAGAAATCTAAGATATAGGACAATATTGAAATAATTTAAAATTATGCCCATTTCTTTGTAAAGAGATTAGTTATTTCCTTCTGCTATTACATTTGGGAAGGTAACTGAAATGTTCAATTGAACTAAATCATTTAACTTCTCTAGTAAAGGCCAGAGTGGTTTGTAAGTTTCCTTCTGTCCCAATGACAATTTTAAGCCAAATCACAGTGGCCTAAAGTCAATGCTCTACCATCAAATTTGAAGATTGGAATCAGAGGTACAAAAGTCTAAAGTTCCCTGGGACCAGGAAGATATTGTAAAGATGTGAGGTGAGCTCCATTAGGATACGAGACTGAGTGGAGAGACATGTGGAGAATGAAGCATTCAAAGAAGGAGAAGAAGAGGAAAAATAAAAAAATCTAAGGCAGTTTGTACAACAACCTGCCATTTGCGTGCCTAAAAATGCTTTCCAGCTTCAGGACTTTTCTGAATTGTATCTTTCACATTTTAAAATTTGTTATAACATGGTACACATCCATTGGAATCTAACTGATGCATCTTAACGACCAAACCAAACTATGTCACTGCCCATATCATATATATTTGAGCAATTCCCCATTGGTATAGACTTAAGTATCTTCAAATTCTACTACAAATGATGTCACCATGGGATGACACCACCTTCTCTATACTTTCTGGTACATTTGTCAGAAAGTATTATGATAGATTTCCAGTGGAATTGCTGTGCAAAAGATATTTATACACTGTTGTAAAAACAGAAAGTAAATAGGTCATTGTAATTATTTTTAAATGCTTTCCTATCCCCAAAAATGCTTAAAAAGTCACATGTTCCAGGACTGGGATTTTGTGATATAGTCTAAAAATAAAAATCATGATCAAGTCAAAGAGTCACCTGTTTTTCCAGACCACTTGTGCCGCTAGATTATGGACTCCAACTCATCCTGATTCCTCTATACCTTTAAGGAATTCCTTTCTGGGAATCAAACTGTATTGTATTTCTTTGACGGGCTTACCTGTCCATATAAAATATGCAGATTTTTCTGGTTCCCATAAAAAATGTTATAGGTCTTCAATAAAGAATAAAGTTGTTCCCTAAAAAAAAAGTTACATTTGGTTACAATCGAGCTCTTTAACAGTAAGAGGCAATAACAGTGCATTCAGTTCATACAGGTATGAGGTAGAAATGGTTCAATGGAATCTTTACTGTTCTGTCATTTTCACTTACTGCAGGTTATTGAGAATGGAAGTCTTCTTGGGACATCAACAAACACTGGAGAGGTTAATTCATAAATAAATAACCAAAGAAGGGAAAATGACTGAGGGCAAAGTGGTGGGGAGACTGTTCTGTGACAAGAGACAGCCATAAAATAGAGATCTGGTTTCACATTTCTTTTTGGTTTTGCAACATTTAATCAGCCTAAATTAAGCGTCTAGTATGTGCCTGATATCGTGTTTCCTACCCACGGTATGGTAACAGTTCAGAAATGGTCACTGCTCCCAAGTTACTTATCCTTCGTGGCAGGTGGGATCTGGCTGCAGGAATACTGGTTCCTGCCCCCTCCTCTATCCTTCACCTGTGCCTCCACAGCCTAAGATCCTTACCCTTCCTAACTATCCTACTGGTCCGAGCCATCTTCTCTCACCTGGATTACTGCGACTGTCTCCTAAAAGCCTCCTGTATCTGTAGTCTGTTGTAACAGCAGGTATTATTTTAATGCAAACCTGATCATCTCTCTCTTCGGCTCAGCACTCTCCAATATCTTTTCATTATTCGGGATAAAAGCCAACATCCTTCCGATGACTTAAAAGGCCAGATGTGATCTGGTCTTCTGTTTCCCTTTGATCTCATTTCCGATTATCCTTTCCTTCACTCACTACACTCTAGCCACTGGCCTCCTTAATGTTCCTTAAATATGTCAGGCACATTCTCACCTCAGGGCCTTTGCACTTGCTGATCCCCCTATCCAGAATGACCTCCCCTCTTACCCCCAACCCACTGTCACACTTTTTACACATTTTCTTTAACTCTTTACTCAGAATTCACCATCTCAAGGAGTCCTTCCTGACCACTCAATCTAGAAGTTTGCATTCTCCAGACATTCATAACCTGCTTTCTTACCTCTGCCCCTTTGTCACCTTTAACCTTGAGCATATTTTACTTATTTGTCTTATATTCGATCTCTCTCACCAGACCATATCTCCATGAGAATAGATGTGCTTGTATGTTTTGTTTGCACTATATTCCATGTGCCTGGAAGAGTGTTTGGCACATAGTAAGAACTCTATGAACACCAGTTGAATGAAATGATCAGAGAAATTCTTATTCCTAAAAAATGAAACATACCAAATAAAGGGGGAAAGGCTTTTTTATATAAGCAGTTTTATGGGGAAAAAATCTCCTATTAAGTTTCCAAATACATTATTTTTTAAAATTCTTTTGATCCTCAATATCTGTCTCCCTCCCATAGGAATATTGGCTCCATGAGGGCAGGAATTTTGGTCTATTTTATTCATTATTGTCTTCCCAGTGCTAGAGCAGACACTTGTTCATAGTAGGCTCTTAATCAATAAATACGTATTGAATACTGAATGACAGAATTCATGTATATTGATTTTTATGCTTGAGATCATGTAAATGTACTCTTTCCATCTGGCATTGTAATTTTAATGTGCACATTTCCAAGGTTCCATATACTTCACACAGTCACCACATAAAAACATTCTACAGAAGTCTTCCATGCTATGGTTCCATTCCCAACTGAGTTACTTTAGAATTTCAGTGTTGATGAATATTTCTCTTCTAAATATCATTGCACACACAAGGGACTTGTTGCCCTGGAGTCATTACTGTGGGATATTTTCTAAAAATTATTGTACTGGTAAGGAGCATGAATGCTTTTATAGCTTTCATTATTTTTTTTTTTAAGATTTTTTATTTATTTGCGAGAGAGAGAATGAGAGACAGAGAGCATGAGAGGGAGGAGGGTCGGAGGGAGAAGCAGACTCCCTGCTGAGCAGGGAGCCTGATGTGAGACTCGATCCCGGGACTCCAGGATCATGACCTGAGCCGAAGGCAGTCGCTTAACCAACTGAGCCACCCAGGTGCCCTATAGCTTTCATTATTGAGTACCAGGGCAGCATATAGAAATTTCTGGTTCACTTGGGATGCAACTTCTGATATGCTGAGCTGTGAGGGTTGTTATTAAGGCAAATGAATTTTTATATAATCTTACTCCCTCAGCTTCTGTTTCTGATAAAACTGCACAATAAGATACATTACAAGTACCTTTCAAAGTATTTACTTTCAGGACCATGTATACTTAGAAGATATTCTCTGAGGTCAAGCCACTTGGAAAATGTTTCTGTACCTGAACAGAACCTGACTGAATCTTCCCCCATAGAAATAAGTCTCCAGATGACCCAGGGAGTCAGCAAACTGTGGTCCTGGGCTATTTGTGTTTATCAATGAAGTTTTATTATAATGTAGCCACACTAATTTGTTTGCTTATTATCTGTGGCTGCATTTCTGCTGTAACTGCAGAGTTGAGTAGTTGTGACAGAAACCACATGACCCACAAAGCCTAAAATATTTATTATCTGACCCTTTACAGAGAAAGTCGGCCAACCCCTTCCAAGTATAACACAGGGTAGTGAATACCACAGAAGTTGTCCGTATTTTTCTTACCACAGGCAGGATCTCTCCGACTGAATATTAATGGCACTTTGAAGGATTCCGGAGTGTGGAAGAGTAGTAGAGCTCAGTAAAATGAAGGGTTGGGATAAAGTGAGGCATTAGGAAGAAAGCTCACAAGTCATGTAAACAACTATGGCAAAAGTGAATGCATTGCAAATATTAAAACAGCATTATATTTTAATTGCATATACCTTACCAGAGGAAATTTTGAAGATGATTTTTTTGTGTATCGGATGAAACAATGGGTCTAATATAACCCTGCTAATAAAACCTAGCCTGCAACATGTTAATCTGACTTGTTGGCACTGAAGGCACGGGACGTGAAGAGTGATTGTCAAGTTGATCATCCGTGTCTGCCTGTGTCTTCTAATAGTGAATGGTCATTCGCTCAGGCACTCATCAGTCACCATGTGAGCCCAGTCCGGGGGTTTCAGTCATACTCTGAGGATGGGTCAGAGCTTCAAGAATAGATGTGGCCTACAGTGAACTTTGGAGGGGGAATTAAACATGAAGAGTGTGAAGAGCTTCCCAGGCAAAGAGAATGTTCACAAGGACACGGGGCTACTTCTATAGCTTTTGTGAAGAAAGCTCAGAGCGTTGGGATTCTAAGAGTAGAACATGCAAATGGGCAGTGGTGAGCAATGAGCTGAAGAAGCAGACAGGAACTTCGTGAGCCATTTTAAGAAGCTTAAAATTCTACCCTGCAGGGAGGGGGCAGCTACTGAACACTGACAGTTCTAGGCCAAAGAAAGACATGATGATCAAGGCCACCAGGGAACTTACAGGAGACAGATTTCAGGACAAGATGGCAGCAGAGATGAGTGGGACTATTGCAACTGTATGGGGGTGGAGGCTCAGGGGCAAGGCTGTGTTCCATGGAAAGGTGCTCAAGTGTCCCACATGTACAGAAGGGAATGAAGTCTAGATGGGCCCTAAAATAAGTAAAGGGATTACATGATTTAAGACATCGGAAGGTAACCACAAAAGCATTATCTAGGCAAAGGGGGCAGTGATTTAATTTACACTGTGCCCTGTCAATGGTGACTGTAACAGATTTTCTGGATCCGCTTAAATGTTACATATGGACCTTCCTCCCCTCAAGAAAGGAAACAAGCATCTGGGTATCTTTCCCTCTCAGCCACCAAAAAGTTCCCCACCCAGCCTCGATCAGACTGCTAAGCAACTATTCAGCTGCCCTAACAAAACATAAAATGGGTGAGAAGAAATGGATTTCACATCCAATCTTCTCAGTTTACAAATCTGTGAAGTCTAGAAGCCACAGGGATGCCCACAAAATAGACATAAGGTTCAAACAGCCTATACACTGTATGTTTGATACATAAGAAATTGACTTTGTGAAAGCTTGGTTTTGTGGAACATGAAATACTGCATCGTAATATATAATAAGGTTTAAAAAAAACACATCAAACAGTATGTAATATGGATAGTGTTTTAAAGATTTATTTACTTATTTGAGAGAGAAAAAGAGAGAGAGCGTGCAAGCATGCACACGGGCGCACGCACAAGCGGCGGGGAGGGGCAGAAGCAGAGGAGAAGCAGACTCCCCGCCGAGCAGGGAGCCCAACTCGGGACTCCATCCCAGGACCCTGAGATCATGACCTGAGCCGAAGGCAGACGCTTAACTGACTGAGCCACCCAGGCGCCCTGATACGGATAATGTTTTAAGGAAACTGAGGAATGGCAAACTTCCATATAAACCGGACTTCTAATTAAATGAAGGGCTAGAAGAATAAGCTTCTCAAGACAGAAGCTGGCACCGTGCACTGGCAGTGCAGAGATCAGGTCCTGACAGAGGCTGATAGACACCCAGAATTATTCACAGCAGCTCGTGAAGAGTGCTAACCACAAGAGACTTCACATGGGGATGACAGATGCAAGGCAAGGATGCAGAAGAGGGCTCAGGGCTCCTGTTCCTTTAAGGCTCTCAGTTTGGTTTTATGAGCAACAGTGGATCCAGAATTAACTGTAAAATGCTTAGGTGTACTTTGTACTTTGTGGTCTGAATTGCAGTCACTCAGCAGATGGGAATTACCCACACACTGAACGTCTGCCATGAATAATGGACTTAGCAAGAAATGAGTTCCTCAATCTTATCATGCTATTTAGCTGGCCGGAAGAAACAATTTTTTTTTTTTTTAAGATTTTTATTTATTTGACAGAGAGAGACACAGTGAGAGAGGGAACACAAGCAGGGGGAGTAGGAGAGGGAGAAGCAGGCTTCCCGCCAATCAGGGTGCCCAATGTAGGGCTTGATCCCAGGACCCCGGGATCATGACCTGAGCCGAAGGCAGATGCTTAACCTACTGAGCCACCCAGGCGCCCCCGGAAGAAACATTTTTATTTGATCTTATAAAACTGTAATATTCACGGACATGGG